GATTGCTGTGATAAACTTGCACTGTTAACTCTGGCCAAATGGGTTCAAGCTAAATCAAACAAAAGCTCTTTGCTATCTCAACTGAGAACAATTTTTCTTACACAAGATACTTTCAGGTAGAGTAGAATCCAGGGAGGGACCCAGAAAGCGTAATTCATTGAAACCAGCAAATGCCTTCAGTAGAGCGACACGCTATTTCTGTGTCTGTTTCCTCCAATTTGCAACACTTGGGGTACTTGACAAACTATTGCTGTGGGAGTCTATGTCCAGGAGAGGGCAGTGTTTAACCTCGAAACATTAAGAAAAAAGAAAGAAAATTAAAAAAGCGCAAGCCAAGAACCAGCTGGTTGTAACTAGCGAATGTTTTGTGGCTAGTAATTGTCATCTTGTATGGGTAGTCAAAATTACACTTGCACCATTAACCATTTAAGTTAACATACACAGAGATGGCACCCTTTCTTGCCTTTCATTTGACAGATTCTTCAGTGAAGGACAACCATTTTTGTTGGAAGCAATGGTAATTATCAGACATCTTCCACAACCTCTTTTTAGAAGAACTTTCAGGGACTTCAATATGGAATTCAGGCGCTTGAGAACCTCTCTCAGCATCTAGTAATACTGAGGGCCAAAAGAGCAGAAATGTTAAGTGTACTAAAATATGGGACTTTACTGTATAATGTACACCACTTATAAAACTTATGTGCAGTTAATACCTAGACACTTATAAGTATGCCATTTATATGTAATGTTAGCACTTCAGAATGAAATTAAAAAAAGGCCAAGGCAGATGCATTCAAAATCTCAAGCATGAATTAAATACAATTATTTCTGTTTGCATTAGAGAAAAAGTGCTCAAAAAATATGTGCCTTCCAAGTGGAGGGATGCAAAAGCTCTTAACTTCCTAGGTGTGACAGATAGATGGCAATTCCTCACAAAGTCAATAACCCACTTGTTTTGCCAATATCACCTGTCATGCTCAGTGGGCAGATAGGTAGAAGCTGCTCATGTTTTCAGG